GACAATGTTGGCCACAATCATATCGTGAGCTCCTTGGAAGCAAGAGGTGTGTCGCCGGATCTTCAACACGTTATATCGGCTCTCCTCTGCACGAACACGATCAAAATTAGTAACGGTGTTCACGCAACTAGCCAAATCAAAGTGCTGCGCGGGGTACCCCAAGGCGGCCCCTTGTCGTCGTCGCTCTTCAACCTGGCCATTGACCATCTCTATCGCGACCTGTGCGATGAAGAATTTTCCAAAAAATTTGGATAGAAGTTAAAAAGTGACCAAGGTTGTGTGGTCCTCACAGGTTTCGCGGATGACCAGGCCGTGTCAGCGCGTGACAAGGGGGCTGCAGAAAGAGTGATCGGCAGCGTTCAGAGGACCTTTGAGGGAATTGGTTTGGCTATTAATCCTCAAAAAAGCGTGGGCATCGTTCTAAATAAAGGAGAGCTGGAAACCGCGATGCTCTCCCTTGAGAACGGAGAGTACATCCAAACAATGCAGAATGGAGATACAATCAAGTATTTAGGATGTACATTCTCGGGAGAGCTACAGTTCAACGAAGATTCGGTGACCAAACTGAACGAAAACCTGAATAAACTGGTAACCTCTCCCTTGCTGAAGCCGGAGCAGAAGCTAAACATTGTCAACCAATATCTGTTCCCGGGTCTTACTTACCCTCTCCAAACTGCGCCCCTCACAAAGCTGCGTCCTGCCGTACTTGACGGCATCGACACCATGATTCGCAGGAGTGTGAAGGCTATTGTTGGACTCCCTGCGAACACCTCCACGGCGATGTTATACGCTCCCAGGAGGTATCGAGGATTAGGATTAATCCGCTGCCAATGGGAGGCTCCTCTACAACATTGGTCCATTGCTCAGCGACTGTCCAATGTGCCCGATGCCCTTTTTCAGTCGATCTTTGATTATTCGGCTGAGGTTGATGAATGTGCCGAGAGATTGGGGGTTGATCGGGGTATTCGGAATATGAGAGCTCTACGGCAGTCGCTTCGAGAAAATTCGTTTGAGGAATGGACCAATTGCAGGTGGCAGGGCATTGGAGTTCGCCATTTTAAAGAGACCCCGAAAGCCAATAAATACATGTACGATAAGCAAGTACTTTCTGGGTCTGAATGGTCAAATGCCCTGAAACTAAATATTAATTATGCTCCCCTGCGTGGAGTCCCAGGTGTCAGCGGACAGGTAAGAGAAGTTGGGTCCCTCTGTCGCAAATGCGACAGAGAGCCAGAAACACCAGCACATGTGCTTGAAAAATGCCCCAACAACTCCCTCTTTATAACACGCCGTCACCACAGAGTCAAGCATGAACTGATGAGGCTCCTTGAAGAGAGAGAATACGCCTGTTTCGAGGAAGTATATTGTATAGATACGGATGGATCCACCCGATATGCCGACATTGTAGCATTCCCTAAGACGGGAAAGTCGGCGATGATTTTGGATCCGACCGTGAGATATGAGACCAACGACCTCGATCAGGCAGAAAAAGTGGAAAGGGAGAAAAAACATACATATGAGAAATGCATCCCTTTCCTTAGTGAAAAGTTCCGCGAGAGTTTCGGGCCGAGAGAGTTCCACGTGAGAGGCCTTTGGTTCGGAGCTCGCGGAACGATACCAGACTCAACAAGGAGCTTCATGGAGGGCCTTGGTGTCGACATAAAGGACGTGGCAAGGTTGGCGGAGAATATAATCCTCGACTCCCTGGGAATCATCCACCACCATGTGCATGGGAGCGGATAGGGGGAGAGTTTGCTCGCGGGGGGAGGCATGCGTGTGTTACAGCATTTTTATATTATTATTTATTGAACACGTCCACTGTACTTAATGTATTTTTTTTATGTATTAGGTTAGAAATAGAGAGGAGAGAATGTGAGGAGTGGGAACATGTATAGGGGGAGAGAAGGAAGAGAAAGGGTACAGAATGATAATAAATCAATGAAAGAAATAGTAAAAATTATAAAATAAAAAAAAAGGAGAAAAAAAAATGAAAAAAAAAATAATAATATATATATATATATATACGTATAAAATATTGTATACTATGCTCATACATATTGTTGTTCCTGTATAATTGTATAATAATTTTAAATAATGTCTGTAGTGATTAATAAGTATGCTGTGTTGTTAGCAACCCAATGTAATTGGGCAGCACCATTTTATTCTATTTTATGATAATAAAGTGATTCTCTCTCTAGAAAGCAACTTATAATTTTTCATTTTTTTACTATGACTGTTTATATACTCTGTATTTTTATTTATGTATCTCTAAGCCCATATTTATGTCTTTCTATATTATTCCAAAGGGACTCATCCCAGAATAAATAAAGTATTATTATTATTACTAGTAGGCCCGTGTGAAAAAATTCGCACAGCATATTGTTATCAAATGCCAGATTAGTAAGAAAATAAAAAAATGCAACCTATCAAAAGATAAAGAAATCAAATGTTACTTTATCGATAAATATAATCGAAAAAGGAAACAAAAATTAATTTAAACCTTCATTTTTGTTTGGAACCAACATATTTACATATTTCAGTAAGCTGTATCTTTGCTAAAAATTGTCCGATTTCAATGATTTTTTTCCTTTTGTAGGGAATTTATTAATCTTTTATATAATCACGTGCATAACCAAGGGAAAAGTGTGTAATTTTTTAGTTATTCTCAAATAAAGTTTGTTTTCTTTTATAACTTGTTTGCCTGAATTTTCGGGGTGATTGGATTATTTCGTCCGTCTGAAGGAGAAGGAAGCCTTCGAAATTGGTGGCTCAATCTTGAGATTTGGTGAAAAATTGACGATGATATGGCTTGCCGATCAAAAACACCATCGATAAATAATATAAACTCCTCCTCTCTCGATCATAGAGACCTCAAGTCGACGAAATGAGACATGTATTCAATGACAGTACTACAATTAATGTAAGGTTGTGTGGATGCGAACCCTATGCCTTGCGTTATCTCGAAAATAATACGTTTTTGGGCTTAAAAACGCAGGATCCGATAGTTCCGGAGGAACTATCCGGGTCTTGCTGTACGCATCAAAATCTTCTAGATCCAATTTGTCCCGTATCGATCTACAGACCTACCACTGTTCAGGTATTGAAGCCTAGCAAAATGTTTGTATCGACTTTATTTATTTTAGAAAGAAAAACAAAAGTGGAGAATACGATTCGCTAACCCCCTGTGAAATTCTGAATCCAACGGTACCCCATTCATGGTATTTGAGCATGACAGGAGCTTATATTTGGTACAAAACAGATTTCGAGCCTTACTTTAATAATATATATATACGGATTATCTATAAACGAAAATAATGGTGCTCAGGAAAAAAACACCTGTAAACCCGCCAAAGCATTAGGTATTGGAAAAGTATACGTTTCAGGGCGTGCCCAGTTTTAAGTACCTTGGCTTCATAGTAAATGATCAGATAGAGAAAGAGGAGGAAATTCAAAATTGTATTATGGGGGCTTACAAAGCGTATTTTGCCCTAATAAGTTTCCTCCGTAATAAACTGCTAAGTTAGAGCACTAAAATGACTGCCGTGAATCAGAGCCTTCACAGTATGGGAATATTTATGATCGCATCCATAGCCAACTGCTGAAGGGACTGATGAACCAACTCCAAAAGTGTGAGCTGATCAACAGAAATGTAGAAAAAATACTCTAAATTATTTCAGTTTTTATTTTGGCTTGATATCTACAAAATAACCAGAGTTACAGGCATGTTTCCAGTCGAAAATAAAATAAGAAATGGCCGCCGAGAAAAAACTGTGAGCCTTAAAATTTTTTTAACTACGGCTTTGAATGCTCGAATAAGTATAGAATAACTGGTAAAAAAGTTATAAAAATCAAAAATGTCAAGCAACATTAGGTGATTTTCAAATGGATTGACCCGACTGTTCCTAGTCATGTTTTATTTTGTTGTTGTTTTTTACTCAACTAACAATATAATAAACATTTCTGCACAATATTATTGACGTTATTTCATTCTGAACAATGCCAGATAGTGGTACTTTTAGATTCTGAATATTGGGAAGGGGGTGCTGAAAACTGGTGCATACGCATATTTTTAAATGATTATGTTTTAATACAAAAATATAAATGAAAGCCCATGTTTTACATATATATTTTGAAATTGGAGGTCTTTACTGACTTAAATGAATTTAAATTGTTTAACCTAATACCCAGACAATTGAAAATGAGCCAACTTATTAAGTTTTTTAATTTAAATTATGAATTTAAAAATTTATTAAGTTTCCTTAAGGGGACTAAAAACTGGGAAGTTTACATTATTTGTTTCAATAACAAGGCCTCCAGTAAAAACTGTAATTGAAAAAAATTGAAAATCAATAATAATAATTAATAAATTCTTATAAATAATTTGTTGATTTATTATCAAAATCCCAAGAAATGCCATTTTGCCGACTGTGGTAATTTCCTTCCTGCTGAGCTTTCTAGGAATATCATAAATTAGTCTTACAATGGATTTAAGCACATTAAGATGATGATAACAATGAAAAAACCAAAAGGATACCAAAAGAATGGAAAGATGAACCATAGGCAAACATGATCTTGAACATAGAAAAGCTTAAGATGTTAAACAAAGCTACCATCACTAGATGATTTTGTCTATATAGAATATAACCTAAGTTGTGCATATAAGTCAAAAGGGAAGTTACTATTTTTTAGCTTAAAATAAGACATATGGATGAAAGATCATTAATTTAAGAAATTTAACCAACTATGTAAGTAAATAATAATAAAAAAATACGTATGCTTATGATACTTATTACATGTCCAATAGTTATTATGGAATGACTAATAAATAGTAGGTCAGGTCATTAAGCTTTGTTCATTATCTTTTTTTTAATTAAAAACATAAATTCGCCTCATTGTAAGGAATAAGAACATTCATGGACTCGGCATAGTTATTGAAAATAAATTTTATCAATTAAGGTGTTGAATATTATTTAACAATCAAGAATAAAAAGTTCTCTTACGCTTGAGATTCATGCAGGCATATAGATTTAAACTGCATATCTGGGTCATTTATTAATGTTTTGACAAGACGTGGCTGGCTCAAACTAGCCACAGATATTCTTCCTTCCTGAGTCCAGTATATGTTTCGACCGAGCCAATCAACCACAATTCCTTCAGGGTGGTTAACTTCAAGGATCGTCTCACTTTTTGTTCCATCCAGTCTTTGTCTACCAATCCTAAAATAATATAAGACTGAGTTTCATATGAAAGGTATAAAATTAATTTAAATTACAGTAAAACTTCTTAGTAGCGGACATTCACGGAGATTTTCCTCTATAGAGAGATGTCCATTTTAGAGAAACTGGAAATAAAACATAATAAAAAACAAAACAAAAATTAGCTGGTTAAAATTTAATTTTATAAATCATATCACTGAAATAGTTTATTCATTTGAATTTTTTTAATCCAAAATCCTTCATAAAATCCTCATCGCTCCTTACTTTGTCACAAATAAAATCATCCATAAAGACCTTAATGTTCCATATGTTTCCGATTTGGCCCAATCCAGATACCTATCCTTCCATAACAAACTGCAGAACCATCCGAACCCTCTCGTTTCAAACCTTGCTTCCTCCTCGATCCCTGATAACCGTCCGAGGAGTCTGAAAAGAAGATGGCCTCGGGACCTTCTAATATAGAACTTTAATTTGAGTTCTACTATTGGGTAGTTTCTCTTCATGTTGTACATGTCATGTTACCAAAGTCACATTTACTTGTTGTATTTTTCATGTAAGACAGTTATAAATTTCATTAAAATAAAATATATATATATATATATATATATATATATATATATATTTTTTTTTTTTTTTATGAGAAATAATATATTTTCTATAGTAAAAGTGCTTATATAAAACATAAATTTGTGAATAAAATTTCAGCATATTTAAAGTAGTAATCTGGTATTATTGAACTTTTTGGTGAAAACTATTTTGTTTTTTCAAATTGGATTGTATAGATAAATCATTACAATTTCTTCACTGTCCTCTTCCCTTCACCCTTTCACTGCCCAGGTGTTACAGCTTCTCAATGTTATGTTTTCTTTGAACTTCAATTAATAGAATTAAATAATATTAATATTTTTAAATATTCACTAGTGGTCATAAAAACTGGCACACCTTGAATTTTGTCATTATTTTCGTCCCAACAGAATAAAATTTGCAATTTTTTTTCCACATCAATATAGTATGACATATTCTGTTCATAGGAGACCATAAAAAATGAGGAAAAAACAACAAAAATTAATTTAAAAATCCATAATCTACAATAAAGCAAATGAACACTATTTTAAACAAAAATAAAGCACATCTAATTCATATGTGCTTGTTTTAGGTGAAAATTTTCTAATATTATAAAATAAGGCACTGTTTATTTTTTTCACCAAATTTATTTTAATTTTCATAGCTACATTTCGGCCCGTAAGCCATCTTCAAGCCATTTTATCCAACCATGCTTTTTGCATGTAGTCCAAAGTCTGAAGCACATATAATTCTTTTTTAATTATGAAATCTTAGTCTCTTGTACCTAGTGTTGCCTCCCCTTCCTTGAATAATGGCCTGTACTTGAATATGATCTCATTCAGATACTTGGACGTCACATGGAGGGTTCTGCTGTCAACAGATGGATGTCTCAAGTTGGTCCCAAAGATGTTTAATAGAACTGAAGTCCAGGCTGCGAGCTGGCCACTCCAAGGTGCAAACACCAACCTCTTCTAGGTAGTCCTGTAGAACATTCGTGATATACGGCAGTGCATTACCCAGCATAAAAAGAAAACAGAGAGCAATAAACAGGCCAAAAGGTGCTCCATATTTCTTGAGGAAGTCAGTGATGTACGTGTGTGCACTGAACTTGCATTGCCTTCAGAACACAAGGAAGTCTGTCCTTGACTCAAAACATATTCCACCCCAAACCACCACCGCCCTCCTCTGAACTGCACTCTTCCTGCTATATTGCAATGAGCTTATTGCTTATCTGGTCTCCACCACACTCGAAAACGTCTATCTGCACCATAAAGGCTATACCTGGACTCATAGGCAGTGTATTCATACCAAAAGTAGAGGCGAGCTGCTCAGTGTGCTGCAGTGAATAGAGAGCCGCAACAGGGAATCCCAGCATGCAGATTGACATCCGCACCCTGAGCAATACTCAATCGATGAGAAGTATCAACTGAAGTCTGCTAGCGGTTTCTGAGAGTCTGCATAGCAGTGAAGCGGTTATCAGCTAGACCAATAGATTGGATAGCATTATCACAGCCTCCTAGCGTAGCTTCCTGTCTCCCAGTACCTCTGGACTGCCCACTGAACCATTGTTATCGTTCATATCGCTGGCTTCAGCCGTTCTTAATTAATGCTAATATGAAGGACTGCCATGTTATCCAAAACCATTTTTCACTCTTGAAAATGTTTGATAGAAATGGGATATTGTTTTCAAGGAAAAAAAAAAATAAAAACAAAAGCAAAACTAATGCGATTGGCAGGCAACTGGAGACAAACTGATATGAAGTCCACATTTTACTTAATACTTCTATCAGTAATCCTAGAGAGAATTATGAAATTTTCTCTAATAGATCGAAGCATGGTAAAGCCTTTGTCCTATCATATGCCTGTTATTACTTCAGGGTTAAAAATATTTCTTTAATCTACAATTTTAAGTAAAATTCAAGGTGCGTCAGTTTTTTTACCACCAATTTATTTACAAATAAACGAGTATTTTTTAATTTACTTTGCTTGGTTTGTGAATTATCTTTTCAAGATAAATAAATAAAAAGATTCAAAACATTGTGCATATCAGTAATATTATCATTACTCATAATGATAATTATGAGAATAAAATTAATTTGGCGACTCATTATCCTTGTCACTCCACCCTCAACCTAAAGAGCATGGAGCAAATTGATGAACTTATTATTGAGGAGATTGGTGTTATTGAATTGAAATTGGAAATCAGAGCTGGAACAGCAGAAGCCAATACTTAAATTTTATTTTTCCACAGCATCTTTAGCTCACTTAATCGTATGTAGAGTGAGTCCTGATACATAAGACAGAAAATCTAAGATGAGTTTCCGGGTGAGTCGAGGGGGAGAGAGATGAGCAGTAGCAAAACATTTTCCCACCAATCTCCCTCTCTTCAAAATCACCAGTCTTCTCTACTCATTCCTACCTACTTCTACAATTTCTTTTACCAATTTTCATTTATTATGTCAAATAAACTGGGTAGAGGGAAAACTATCCACCCTCAGACCAAACACGTAATAAATTAATGATAGAGTTTTGGGGAGGTGGGACTTGAGTGGGGAAAGACTGCGCGAGTTCCCTTCCCATACACGCAACTTCATCCAAGATTCACTATACTGATGGATAAACCTAGTGGAAAGTTTTTATTTATTATTTTTTTTCTAGGTTTGTTAGAATTAGAAATGGTAAGGGAAACAAATATGACATCAATCCTCTTGTCAATATTTTATATAATTATTGCCAAGTATCAATAGAAAAATGCTGTTTAAAAACTTATTACACAATGGTTTATTACTTCCAAACAGTTATATATCATAAGTAACACTACTTTCCTTGTCACATACAGGAAAATAATTAAAAAGTGATTCCTCTAATGTAGCCCTAAATAATTTTTTTTTTATCATTACAATTTTATCAAGAAATAGAGACAGAGGACAATCTCAATTACTTAGGCGATGTAAGACTTTGATGACTAATAAAATTTTATTGCATCCTATGTAGAGTGGCAGACGTCCATATTTGCAGTCTATAGTGAGAGGACTTTCGAAATCCATGTTCAAAAGCTTTCTTCAAATCAGACCACCTTTTCGGCCTCAGCTACCGGACTAAGAGGAAATCCTAAAGTTGTATGAACTTGTGTTTCAGTCGCCAAATGAGTTGCAGTTAAAAGCTGTTTGAGATCTATTTTTTCAACGACCGTTTGGTGATTTCAACCCAGTGTACCTTTCAAAATCATTTCAATATAGGCCATCGGAGTCCTGTTTTGGACCAGAAATCAATTCTTTGCAGCACATTGAAGCAGTAAGGGTGTCATTTTTGCAATTCCTGTATTGTTCTACACAAATACATTTATCTGCACTAGGAATTTCCAATCTTTTGCTGAGGCGAATTCCACAAGATGATATCAATTTCTATTCATAAAACTGGCTATTGTGCAGGAACTATCCGAATGCGATTTTAATGCTCAAAGAAATGCTAGTGAAGCACTTTTTAAACACATCCCTTGATGTGAGGAAATGGACTTGAAGAAGATATAGTTTTAACAGAAAGAAACAATGGCCTGTATTTTAAGGGCATCGATGGCAATGTTGCAAGATCATTTCCCAAGGCACTTCATTACACTAAGGGACAATTAGAAGTACCCTGCGTGCACACCTGATTAGCTTGTGGAATTAAATCTCCTGATTTCTTTTTGAGGGTGTATTTGAAATCCTGTGTTTATATCAACTGCCCACAGACTCTATCAGACCTGAAAAGAATTATTCAGGAAGAAATGACCAACATACCTATCAATATGCTTGCTGGAGAGGGTGATGAAAAATAACAGTATTCGATTCAACCACTGTATCAACAATGAACAGAGGGGAAGCATTTTATTCATATTTTTAATTTATATATTATACTTATTATTTTAAATTATTTATATTTATTTATTCATTAATTTGTCTTTAGTTCATAATTTAATTTAATCATCACCAATGCAGATAGATATATGCTGTTTATTGTACAATTATTTTATTCTTAGGGTCTAAATGTCCCAGAATAAAAATGAACGTTTATTTCTTATCAGTGTTAGGGTTATATTATGTGTAAGTTACTCAATTTAGTGTATCATAAATGTAAGATCCAAATTTCTGGGATAAAATAAATGGACCAAATCATAGTAAAAATTGATAAATATCAATAAAATAAATGGCACTTGTCTGATAGCCGACGAAACCTCCCTTGTTATCTAATGTTACATCACATAACCTCCCTTCTTATCTCGTGTAAGTTGTGAGTTATTCCATTGTTTATTTTTATGATTTTCTTCAAATTATGGATGTTAATACATTCTGGGAATTGCCATCTTCAGAAGAAGAGGCTGTAAAATATTTTCAAAACGCCGGGATAATTCCAAACATGAAATGGTGTGAAGGTCATCAAATGAAGTTAGACAGGAAGACAAAATTGAGATGCTTTCGTACCACTTGTAACAAAAACGTTTCCATAAGGAAAGGAACGTGGTTAGAGATGTCGAGGATTTTATTATTAACGGCTTTAAAATTTATGGGTGGTCTCATAATTTAACAACGATACAGTGGGGTAAAGAGCAGCTGAAACTATCCAAGGCAACTATGATAATATGGAACAAATTTTTAAGAGAGGTTTGTGCCCATAACATGTTAACAGGTCAAGTATAAAAATTAGAGTGCCTGGCAAAGTCGTTTAAGTAGAGGAGAGTCTTTCCTGTAAAAGAAAAAATCATGTAGGGGGTGTTCTACCTGAGAAATGGATGTTTGGCGGAGTTTGCCAAGAAACAGACGAGTGTTTTATCATCAAAATAAACGACAGAAAAGCAACAACTTTATTACAAGGTATTAAAAACAATATACAAGAACGAGGCACCATTTATTCTGACTGTTGGAAAGGACCATAATCATTTCCAGGTGAATAACCAGTATAATTTTGTTGATCCATCAAGTGGAGTCCATACACAGCACATAGAACGATTATGGGGCTCAGCTAAGTGGAGAAATAAGAAACACAGAGGAACTGCCAGACAACACCTCGATTCATATTTATGTGAATTTTTGTAGTGGCAGGCTCGTAGAGAAGAGGACCCGTTCCTCGCTATTTTAAACAGCATTAAACTATTTTGTCAACCAAAATAAATTAAATAAAAATAAAATTGTTTTATATTTACATATGTTGTTTATATTGCTGCTTCTTTTATGTACATATGTTGTTTATAGTGCTTATATTGTTTCTTTTATATGTATATATGTTGATTAAGTGTTTTTTTATTATTTCATTTTTTTATTATTGCATTTATTTTTGTTTATTTCATATATGTGTTGTAAAATTAAAGTTTTTTTTTTTTGTTGTTGTGGGAATTATTACATTTCTTTTTGTCTATTTCAATTTTAAATCAAACTGTTTTGTTATTATTACATTTGTTTTCCTCTATTTAATATATATGTTGTAAAATAAAAACTATTTTTTATTATTACATTTGTTTTTGTTTTTATTTACAATTTCAACAATATGAATATAATACAATAAATATGAATACAAAGATAGGAATTATCAGAATTATCAGTGTTCAGGTTATAAATATTGGCAGATATCAGTCGGTCCTGACCGGCTATCAGACAAGTACCAAATAAATATAGATATTTGTATTCATATTACATATCTACAATGATGTTATAAAATTATCATTCATATTGTTTTGATTTTTATTAAATTAAGTACTTTATGAATAAATTTAAATTAAAATATAAAAATTAATCTTACTTAACATGATCAGCAAAATAAATGGTTTGTGTTTTAACATCGTAACTGATGGAAGATGGTCGAATAAGATCCATGATGGGGGGAATCACCTCCTCTCGCCGAGACCTTGGACTTAATGGAATACCCTTTATCATACCAGATTGACTCTTGGCATACAATAAAAATTCTGATGTATCATGAGCTGTTGGCAAAATCATTAAAATAATTCAGTTTCTTTAATACAAATAAAACATATAGATTGATGAATTTTGGAAATGTATGATGACAAAAAATTCATAAGCCTTAAAAAAACAAAAAATCAAAGTCAAGGATAATGACAGTAAATACTTACCATCTCTTCTACGCGGTGGGCCAGACCCCCTATCGTGTACCCCCCCCCCATATTCCTAAAAATTGCATATCGTTGTGTTCCTTGTAACTATTTATTAAAAAAAAGCCAATGTTCCCTAAAAAAAAAGTGAACGCACTGCCCCAAAATGGCGTTGAAATATGGCGGGTTGACGACTTTGACTTTAGTTAGTTTTTTGGTCACTGAGAATCAGCACTTGGCTTAATTTCCTCATGGATGGTCTTTTATTAAAGCTGAAAAGTCAGAGAATAATAAAACATGAACAAATATAAAAAAATAATTGGCTTAGGCAAAAAAAAAAACATCAGTAAAGTCAAAAATTTTAACAAAAAAATTTTCAAGTTGAAAATCAAGCGTTGTTTGTAATTAAACGGCCAACAATAACGCAAAATTTGCTGAAAAAACACCTGGAGAATATATTCCTCTTTCTAAAACACTGATTACTTTTTAAAATATTTGAAGCAGTTCCGTAGAAAATGCACTTATACGGGAGAAAAGCGGTGCCGGGGTAGGTGCCTACAAGCCTCTACCACACCATTCCGTACACATAAATGGCTAAGTTATAGTGATATAATAACGTTTTTGGTACATTATATTGGTTTTATTAACGAAAAAATATTAATGCAATCATTTAATTGTCCAAAAAAATTAAACAATTTTTTTTTTAATTTATTATTTTATTTTATTTTGTTATTTAACTTACTTTATTCTATACGGAGGTCATTTAAGTAGACATCTATTGTAAAAATGATATAATTACAATAATAAAACTTAATTAAAAGATACTTTGCTGAATATCTTGAATTTTTTATTTAAATTGTATATACTTTCCAGGAAATGAGTCATATCAATTTCTGTTTTATAAACTAAAATAATATATACCTAATCTGAACTATATATAATGGATAGTTGCCGGGTTGTTTAGTAAATTTTATTGTTATGAAATTATGGAATAAATTGTTCGGAAGTTGGACCATATCATAAAAAACTAGGAAATTTTAATATTGATTGCATTATTCCCTCTGCACAAATAAAGATGGAAAGGGCAAAACTATAAGTTCTTTTAGTAACCAGAACTGATTGTTTGTTTGGATTTGGTCTCAAAATGAGGGAAAACGCAAAATTGAATCCAAAAATTGGAAAAATACATAAGGTATGACTCATTGATACATATTGATAAGACTCATTTCCTGGAAAGTATATACAATTTAAATAAAAAATTCAAGATATTCAGCAAAGTATCTTTTAATTAAGTTTTATTATTGTAATTATATCATTTTTACAATAGATGTCTACTTAAACGACCTCCATATATAATAAAGTAAGTTAAATAAAAAAAATAAAATAAAATAATAAATTTAAAAAAAAGTTGTTTAATTTTTTTTTGACAATTAAATGATTGCATTAATATTTGTTCGTTAATAAAACCAATATAATGTACCAAAAACGTTATTATATCACTATAACTAAGCCATTTATGTGTACGGAATGGTGTGGTAGAGGCTTGTAGGCACCTACCCGGCACCGCTTTTCTCCCGTATAAGTGCATTTTCTACGGAACTGCTTCAAATATTTTAAAAAGTAATCAGTGTTTTAGAAAGAGGAATATATTCTCCAGGTGTTGTTTCAGCAAATTTTGCGTTATTGTTGGCCGTTTAATTACAAACAACGCTTGATTTTCAACTTGAAAATGTTTTTGTTGAAATTTTTGACTTTACTGATTTTTTTTGTTGCTTAAGCCAATTATTTTTTTATATTTGTTCATGTTTTATTATTCTCTGACTTTTCAGCTTTAATAAAAGACCATCCATGAGGAAATTAAGCCAAGTGCTGATTCTCAGTGACCAAAAAACTAACTAAAGTCAAAGTCGTCAACCCGCTATATTTCAATACCATTTTGGGGCAGTGCGTTCACTTTTTTTTTAGGGAACATTGGCTTTTTTTTAATAAAAAGTTACAAGGAACACAACGATATGCAATTTGTAGGAACGTGGGGGGGGGGGTGCACGATAGGGGGTCTGACCCACAGACTATTCTTGCTGATAAAAAAACAACTTAACTACCTAATAGGACTTATAATCAAAATATATATATTTCAACAGGAAAAAGGAGTTTGCATAATAAGAGGAAAATAATCCAAACCCAAAATAATTTATAAGAGAAGAATGTCAGGAAAAATAATATGAAAATGTTATAATAAAAATAATAACTATCTTCCAAGAAATATACATTCTTTACGTTTAAAAATCAAATTTCCTGAAACTAACTTAAATGTTACATATAATCTAAAGATCATTACCTTAAATAAACAATAATTTAAAAAATTCAAAATAAAAGTATCACTAAATGCTTAGTCTGTCGCAGATATAGGATAATAACAATAATAATTATTATTATAATAAAACATCTAAAAAATAAAAGTATACTGTACTCAATGATGCTTGAATCAATCCAACATATCACAGGTGGTTGTGGAGTGCTGCCTAGTAGGAAATAACTACGGAGGCAAAATAATTTTCCTCATCTGGAGGCTCTGTACCATCATCAGCATACTATACATGAGACCAACCATATTCAAAGCCATTATCATTTTGTGATAATTATGAAATGATAGTGTTCTGTCCATCTTTCCAAAATACCAATTTCATCTGACATTAGAATGCCATCTTTATTCTGGATCTGACTTATTCTAGCCACGTAGGATTTCTTTACATCTTTTATATAATTTTGTAAAAGTTTCTGGTATTATTTTGTCACTTCAGGTTTTCTCAATATTCTACCTTGCTTCACGCTCCCATGCACCCTTTTTTTTCCTCTTTCCACTTCTTTCTATATTATTCTGTCAGATTTCTTGTTCCTTTTCACTGACCATATGCTGGTAAACTTCATTTTTATCCAAGATAGCTTTGCTAAACTCTTCATCATACCAATAAGTTCTTCAGGTTATTATTTCCTTATCTAAATCCTCCTTGGCTACCAATATTATATCGTTTTTGCAGGCTTCCCACATTTGGTTGATGTTATTCTCATTTTCTTCAACGTGTTTTGGTCTTCACATGCTTTCATTGAGAGTCTTTAAGTTTGGTAGTATTACATGTAATTACTGTTTCAGTCTTAACATTCCTTCTATTTGATATGCATGTTCAGAGGCTGGCCACTACCAAACAGTTTTCTGAGTCCACATCTGAGCCCCTGAAAGTTCTCATGTTAGGAAATTACTTTTATGTCTAGAGCTTATCAAAACATGATCAATCTAATTGAAATCCTACCATCGAGAGATATCCACGTAGTCTTACGGATTCATTTTGACCTGAATAGCATGCTGCCTACAGTCAATCCTAAGGATGCAGCGAAAGTGATCAACCTTAATCCATTTTCATTGGTTTCATCATATAGGCTATGGAATCCTATTAACAGGTGAAGTGATTGCTCTTTGCCAATTTATGCATTATAATCACCAAGGAATAATTTTTTATCATGTCGGAGCACTTATCCTTTTCACTATCTTCAGCGGCTTCTGTCAGTGCATAAACACTAAAATGGAACAACTTTCCTCTTAGTCCAATATAACATCTTCTGGATCCACAGGGCTTGAAATCAATTATCTGCTGCTTTATTCATTTGTTCAAGATTAAATCAGACCCTAGAGCATGTTGTTTTTCATGGCAGCTCTAGACGAATTTTTATTGATGAATTTATTGCCTATAATAATAGACAATCTTGCTAAACATCTATCCTACACATTCACTCCTTATCCCAAACTCCATCCCAACCACACTGCTGAAGTTAAAGAATTCCTCTCTTCACCAATTCCTCTCTCTCTACCTCCAAAATTTGTTAACCCCTCTGAGGTCAAATTCCTTATAAACAAATTAAAACCCCGAAAATCCCCTGGATATGATCTCCTCACTTCACAAATTCTCAGACAACTTCCCAAAAAAGCCATCATATTCCTTACCTGTCTATACAACTGCATCCTTCATACAACCAATTTTCCTTTGGTGTGGAAACACTCCATAATCATCCTGTTCCCAAAACCAGGTAAACCTATTAATAACACATCATCCTATAGACTGATAAGCTTACTCCCGATCCTCTCAAAAATATTTGAGAAAATCCTTCTCAAACGCATCCTACCCATACTCAAATCCTACAACATCCCTTCTCATCAGTTTGGATTCCGCTTAAGACAATCCACTGTCCAATAAGGCCCTTCGTGTTGTGGACCATATATCCTCTGCACTTGAAAATAAGCAATATTGCACTGGTGCCTTTCTGGATGTAGCACAAGCTTTCAAGTGGGTGTGGCATGATGGCTTACTTTTCAAGCTCAAAACCCATTTACCCCAATCCTTATACCTGGTACTCAAAGCCTACCTCTCAAATCGTTCCTTTCAAGTCCGTTGCAGCACCGAATTCTCCACTTACTATCCAGTTGAGGCTGGTGTTCCACAAGGCAGTGGCTTGGGCCCAGTTCTCTACATCCTCTTCACTGCCGATATCCCTTCAAATCCCGATATCTTCCTAGCTACATTTGCTGATGATACTGCCATTCTATCTTCCCACTCAGATACTCAAATAGCATCTCTAAACCTACAATCTAACCTCTCCTTGATTGAGCAGTGGTGCAACAACTGGCGCATCAAAATCAATGAATCAAAATGCAAACATCACTTTCACCCTGTGACGCAGATCCTGTCCGCCAAGCCTTTTTAATTCAATACCACTTCCCTACTCAGACACAGACCGTTACCTTGGCTTCCTTCTAGACAAAAGATTAACTTGGAACCCACATACCAGACTTAAAAGACAAAAACTTAACCGACGATATG